TTTTTCTTGTGGCTTTTCTGTAGTGAATCCCTCTGTCCAGCTGTCCCCTGCCACCACGTGCTCCCAGTTGTTGACATTAATCAGCTTTGTTCCTCTTCCTGTCACTGTCAGCCCTCCGCCCCACCAAGATGGCCCCTAAGATTCAGTCACTGCCAGAGAAGCTGCGTTCCTCAGGAGTCACTGAGGGAGTTGTTTCATTTCTTCCTTTATCCCTGGCAAGGACTCTGGTTTTTCAACTAATGAGGCAGAAGACATCAATAGGAAAAGAAGAATAAGAGCTTCCCTTGCCGTTCCCTTGCCAGTGTTGCTTGGTTACCTCCCCAACATTCCCTCGCAGCCCAGCAGAGTTCTCTCTGTGTATTTTCACTGTGCATTTGTTTTATTGCTAAAGTTGATCTATTAAGCGGAAAACATGGAGAACACATGGAGCTGCTGTCAGCTTTATGCCGTTTATTTGGATTTCCATTTTTCTCTTTCCAAAGGCCTTGGTGCTGTTTTCATTCCTAACTCCAGTAACACACTGTAGGAATGAGACCGTGTCCACATCAGTGTGTTGGGCTTTGGGGCATGAAAAGCAAAAGTTCAGACTGACCACAAATGGAACAACAAATTGTGAAGTCTTCAGAGATCGAGGCCAAATTTTAATTAATTATGCATCCTAATCCTGTGGCTGTTGAATAAATAGGCCTTAGTAAATGTTTTTTTTTTTTTTTTAATTAAATGAGCAGTTGGTTTCAACTGTTTATTGAGAACCAGCATCATAATGGGTGCTGTTTATAACAGAATTTTCTTAGTGTTTCTATCCAGGGCCCAGAGCTTATGACTTGCTCTTTTCTTTCCAGACACTGGACAAAGACAGAGAATAACAACTATGCCATTACTAGCCTGAGAAACTCTGGTGTGTGGCTGCAGGGCAGTAGCCGTTCCCCGTGTGCCATCACACAGTGGTTTTCCCTGAGGCCTGGGGGTGCTGCCATCCAGATCAGAGCTCCCACCCAGCCACTCTACACCCCACTCCACCCCCCAACCCCTACCCTCCTGTCACCACCTAGCACAGGGCAACTCAAGCAAAGCAGCTGAGTTGGAAGCCATGAGGCTCTTGTCATTCTTCCCCGAGAAACACATTCAACTTCAGACTCTGTTTACTGTTGACAGAAATCACAAGAACAAGTTTTATGTCTTCAGCCCTTTGGTCGTCCAGCCGGTCATCTTCCTACCTAGGGCTTCAAGCGATTCCTTCTGAGAGGTAGTTAAAGTGCAGATTTAGACAGTGTCTGGGGTAAAGCCTGAGACTCTTCATGTTTGATGCAGCGCATCACCTGGTTTTGGATCCTCAGAGCTGACATCATTTGGAGCTCGTCTGCAGTGCAGACCTGAAGCTGCTACCTGTGTTTAAACATGACCTCGGGCAGGTGTGTTCACATGTGGTAAGCACCATGCTAGCGTTCTCTGGGTTTTGTAGCAGATTGAGACTTGAACCCAGGACTTTGCACATGCTGGGAAAGTGCCCTGCCACTGAGCTACGTCTCCAGCCTTCTATTTTTGTTTGTTTGTTTGTTTGTTTTTAAACAGGAACTTGCTAAGTGATTCAGGCTGGCTTTTGGTCCTTGGGCTCAGCTTCCCAAATATGTGAGATCAGAACCCTGGCTAGCTACAGCCACTGAGTGGGATGGAAGACTACGCTGTGGGCAGCATCTCAGTTAGACAGGGGTTGGAAGGGAAGGCCAGCTGCATCCGCCATGCCTGTCTGTTTTTACCTTAAAACTCTTTCACCAGGCTCTGACACCTGGAAAAATACATAGAAGGATGCCCTCATTTAGCATTCAGAGGATACTAATTCAGAGGATCTTTTCTCGTCCATCCCAACTGCCCCTGTCTCTGTATCTAGGGCACTCACCCTGCAAACAGGCACTCTCCTCAGAATAACTCTATTATAGATGAAAAGTGGCACCAGCAGAGGCATCCCCATGTCTTGACCATGTCAGCACGTGTGATAGTGTGCCTCAGGTGCCAGGAGACCGTCTCTCCTGTCAACACAACCAACAGGACCATGTGCCCTGGACTCCCTTTGACCCTTGAGGTGAGGTGCTTAAAGTGTACCTGAGGATGTCCATGGGACAGTATCAGAGCTGCAGAGGAAAACATCAGGTACATCTCAGGGGCAGAGAAATAGGGGTTCAAATCCCCACCTGTCAACTTTCTGCCTTCTGGGGAATTGTTTAACCTAGCTAGCACTCAATCTCTTTGTGTCCATCATGGTCACAACTTGCGCAGAAGAGGCGTGGAGAGTGAGCAATGAGAGTAGAGGCTTTATCCACTGGATAGAGCAGACTGGAGTTTTATCGCACGGAGCAGACGGAGCGTGCTTAGAGAATACTCTTATCCGGTGACCCGCCTCCCCAGCCCTGAGATGGTGATTTTAAACCTGATTAATGTTTGGGATAAATGATCTTCAACTCTGGGATCCTGAAATCTGTTACTTAAGTATCACAGGAATAAACAGAGAAAAAAAAAAAAAGAGCCCCAAATTCTAACAAGGTTTGGTTACTTTTTGACACGTTTGTGCCAATGGCTTGAAACTTTGGGGGATATGATGAGAATGCCGTTTTGCATGTGTTTCCATCTGGGATGTCAGACAGCTCTGTTGGTGGTGGCCATGAGAGTGGATACACAGCAGCAGAATCAGAGATACTCAGGGTCGAGGAACTGGGGAGAGAGAATGGCTCTAAGGACCATGGGAGTTGATGAGACCCCATCATCAAAACGGGGGCAGCCAGTCTTCTTCGCTAAAGGGTGGGAGCCACCTGACACCCCTGTGCTGCCAAGAGGGACTGCTGCTCACTTAGTGAGGGAAAAGAAGGAAGAAGTCTCACCATTCCTTCTCCCCCTTTCCAACCTCCCACTCATGAATTTTCTTTGGGAAATGACCTTTTAAAGCTTCAAGGTTCTTCAGGCTCTTATCAGGCAAACTTAGTCTTCAAGGAGTTCGCCTTCCATATCCCCCTCCCCCACTTTTTCTGTGGCACTGAGGTTGAATCTGCAGTCTATATGCTCTCTGAGAAAATGGCCCACAATGGAGCCCCAAGATGGTCTTCATTTGTAAAGAGACTGCACGTGTCCACAGCCTAGAGTTTGCGACTCTGGTGTTGCTCTCCATGCAGCTGATAGTTAAGAGTGCCCTGGAGTATGACCTCATGAAAGGTCTCTGGCAGGGCCTTTTCCACATGGATCTTTTTGTGGGAGCAGGGAGAGTTTGCTTAATGCCTCATGAGAAGATGTTCCCCAGCACTCCAGGGGAAAGCCATTAGGAAAAGGAAGAAGAGAGGGATGGAATAGTAGGCTACGACAGAGGCAAGAAGAGGCACCCACTAGCAGGACCATGGCATTGCTGAGCCAAGAGCACAGTCTGTAGAGGGAATCAGGTATCTCAGGAAAAATGAACAGAAACTAATGTTTGAAAATGCCATGATGAAATCTACCACTGTGCCTGCTAATTTAGAAAACTGAAAATGCATCTTCGGGAACATAGTCCAGTGTTAATGTCTTAACCAAGCCATGTTCACCTGCAGGGGTGGCAGAACCCCTTCTGGGAGTGAATAAAGCAGTTTAGAGAGCTCATAGTCCAGTCCTCTGCAGCAGATTCTGTGGTGGCTGTTCGAAGGCTGTCCTCAGCTCTGGGCTCACTTGGCTCCTGTTTGGCCTGAGTGGACTTGTTAGCACCTCTCTGTCAAGGTCACAGGACAGCCTTCACCTCAGCCTGCTTTTTCTTGGTAGCCTTTGGGGGAATGTGTGTATAAAATGGAACAGGGACAGAGCTCTGTCCCTGGGTAGGGGGCTTCATGAACGAGTAGGAATGAAAAAGATGAGAGACAGCATGGTTCAGAGCATATGGCCATGTGGAAAGTGCCTTTACAAGGGGTTAGCAAACCAAACATGGTGCCAGCTGTGCCTCCTGCTTAACAGGATGTTGTTAAGCCAGTAAGTGTATCACCTAGCGATCCAGGAAGAAGGATACTTGCTGTGACTTTACTACACTCTGTGAATCAGTAAATCTTGCCGGAACTCCTCCTCCTCCTCCTCTTTTTCTTCTTCTTTCTCTTCTTCTTCTTCTTCTTCTTCTTCTTCTTCTTCTTCTTCTTCTTCTTCTTCTTCTTCTTCTTCTTCTTCTTTTTCTTCTTCTTCTTCCTCCTCCTCCTCCTCTTCTTCTTCTTTTCCTTCCTCTTCTTCTTCTCCTTCTTCATCTTTTTTGTTTTCTTCTTCTCCTCCTCCTTCTCCTTCCTTCTCCTCCTCCTTCCTTTCCTTGAGGCAGGATTTCTCTGTGTAGCCTGGGCTATCCTGGACCCACTTTGTAGACCAGAGTGGCCTGGACTCACAGACATCTGCCTGCCTCTTCCTCCCAGAGTGCTCGGATTACAGCACACGCCACCAGGCCTGGCTTTTGCCCTCCCTTCTTGTTCCTTCCACACCCCCTCCTCTCTCAGCTATACACTCCAGCTTTCTCAACTTCACATATACACTCACATGACCCATACACAGCTTAAGCTGACCACTGTCAGCACTTCTTACAGATCCAACAGATACAGACTCCTGGTTGTTTTTAGCCAGCTTGGTGTGGTAGGCACCCAGTCCCATCATCTCCATCTGGGAAGACAGAGACCATGTATGCTTACTCATTAGTCTCCAAGAAGCAGTAGTTATGCAATAGGACTGAATCACTGACCTACACCTTAGTACCTTGGAAAGCTCTTTGCTGATAATCTCACAAGAGCCAGCAAAGATGTGACAGCCACCACCAAGAAAAAGAGGGTAACATCTTTTCTTCCTTAGTCGTTTGCATAATTCAAAGTACCAGTTTGTTCCACAGGGCAATAGCTTACCCTCCACATTCATATGCTTAGACCCACAGCCAGTAATGCCAGGTGGAAATTAAACACAAACTTTTGTTAGTTCATAAATGCAAACTGAGGACTCACGTGCTCTTGTTCCTTTTCTGTCTTTAGGAAGGAACATGAGGTTTCCCCCGGAGGTTGTTCAAGAGGACAACGGAAGGAGCCATTTAAAATAGAGTAAAGACTACCAGACTGCAAGACTGGGGCCCGAGGGCTGGCAGTGGAAAACTCTGTTGGGCTGTGATCTCTCACTGAAAAGTCCCAAGTGCCTTTTTGCTTCCTGTAAAAGGAAGGAAGACAAGAAGGAGACCATGTCTATAGCCCTGAAGCAGGTGTTCAACAAGGACAAGACATTCCGGCCCAAGAGGAAGTTTGAACCGGGCACGCAGAGGTTTGAGCTGCATAAACGAGCTCAGGCATCCCTCAACTCAGGCGTGGACCTAAGGGCAGCTGTGCAGTTGCCCAGCGGGGAGGACCAGAACGATTGGGTGGCGGTGCACGTGGTGGACTTCTTCAATCGCATCAACCTCATCTACGGCACCATCTGTGAGTTCTGCACGGAGCGGACCTGCCCTGTGATGTCAGGGGGCCCCAAATATGAGTATAGGTGGCAGGACGACCTCAAGTATAAGAAACCAACTGCACTGCCAGCTCCCCAGTACATGAACCTGCTCATGGATTGGATTGAAGTCCAGATCAACAATGAGGACATATTTCCAACGTGTGTTGGTGAGTGCACGGCAGCCTTCCAAGTCTGATTGTGTATTTTTTTTTTTTTACTGTTTTGCCCCATTCCTCCCTGAGCTGAGGAAGTTTTCACAATGTGAGCCTTACACTGACTTCAAATATCAGATAACACTCATGTCTGTGTTTCCCTAAATTCTATCAGCTATATATCTGAAATGTATATTGTATGTATATACATTTATATACATACATATATATTTAAGAACACAATTATTTTCTATATTAAACCCCAAATATATATAATATATATGTATGTATATATATATATACATATATATATATATATGCCAATTTAAGAACGTGACTGAAATGGGGGTCATTTATGGTCTATTTGTGACTTTGTGGACTCTAGTGGTATACATTCCACCTGCTTGGGAACACTGGGAGAGTGTTAGTTAGGATCTTCTTGGCCGTCTTACGGCCAGACTCCAAATCCACTCGACCTGGTAAGATTTTTGATTTTTGGTGAACTGACATACAAGACTGCATTGATTGTGGTTGCTGTTAGTATTGACCTTTCACGACTAGGAACCACCATATGGGAATCCATAGATTATTTGGGGACACAAGCACACAGGAGTCCATATCCTGAGGAAACAAGGATCCGGGTATTTGCCTTTCTTCTAATCACAGGATTTGTAATTGCAGGCTGTATTTTTCTGTTAACCCTGTTAACTGCTAGATGGGCTGGAACACTTGAAATACAGATATTTCGGCTTGTTTTGTGCTTTCAGCCTTTCCTACCTCTTTGATTTGCTAGCTGTTGGATTCCCGTATACGAACAGGGTGGAAATGGAACGCATCGCTTTATATCCGAAGCTGAGTAGGATTGAGAGAGCCCTTGTTTCTGCTGTGCTGTCCCCAGTGCTTAGCACAGTGCCAGAACCTGGGTGGGCACCCCGAAGCATTTTTAAGATGAGAGAATGGTATGCTGTTGGGATAGCTGAGTTAGACACACGTGTATGTGAGGCATACGATGCGTGCACATGAGAAACACATGGCGGAGTCTGTTGGAATCATTGCCGCTGGCAGGTGCCCTCAAGTTGAGAAGGGATGTTGGAAGCCATTGGGCTTATGCTAGAAGAAAGCACATGAACACATTGCTGCAGGACAGTGCGTCTTGAGGTAGTCAGCACATTAGCCAGTTTGTCACCATACTGAGGCTGACTTTGCCTTTTCCGGTCTAGTCCCTTCATGCTTCTCTCTCCTATCCCCTATGAAAGGAGGTGAGCCATCCGGTATGACCTAGGAGTTTCCCAGAAACTCCCTTGGGCAGGTGTTCCGCATCTCCAAAAAGTGGGAAGCCCTTTACTTTTATCTTCTTGTTTTTATTTTATTTAATCACTTTACACCCTGAAACCAGCTCTCCCCCTCTCCTCTCAGTCCCACCTTCATGACCCCTCTTCACCCATTTCCCCTCTCTCCTTCTTCTCAGAGAAGTGGGGCCCTGTGGGTACCAACCCACCCTGGCACTTCAGGTTACAGCAGGACTAAGTGCATCCTCTCCCACTTGGGCCTGACAAGGCAGCCCAGCTAGGAGAAAGGGATCCAGTGGCAGGGAACAGAGTCAGAGATAGACCCTGCTCCGATTATTAAGAGACTCGCATGATGACCAAGCTGCAGTCTCTGTGTGCCCCTGTGGGCCAGGTTTGTTTACTCTGTGGGTCTTCTTGTGGTCTCCCTGACCCCTCTGGTTCACTCCTTTCACTTACATTTCACTCTTAAGAGTCTGCTTGTGCTGGTCTAAATTTTCTTTTTGAGAAGTCTTATAAGCAGCTAATCATGTACAGAACATATAATAGCAGTCTTGATACGGCATCACCATTCTGGTGCTGCCTCCTGGATGCTTTGAACTCTGGGCACTCCTGCCTGCTGGCAGTTACAGCTGCCATGTGAGCTGCTGGCCAAGTATCTCAGTACAGCACCCTTGCATTACTGGAGAGGAAGGCAACTCCTGGATATCTGTTTTGGGAACACAGCCTCATGTAATTTTAGACTTTGTTCTGGGCAGTAGCAGATGCCTCCATGTTTGCCATGGAAAATAATTTTCCTTTCGTTTCATCATTCTGTACACAAACTGTGTTCTCTGTTTCTTTGCTCCACAGTACTGATGTTTTAGGGCATCTTAATGGGATTCCTCCTGAGAAAAAATATGTTTAAGAAATTCTAAGGAAGCTGAATTTTTTTTTCTTTTCTTTCTTTTGTGCAGGTTTAATTGTATGTCAATATGTATTTTACAAATTTCCAATAAGAGTACTTTAAAATGTTTTTTTAAACATGTGTTTATTTTGTGTGTCTGTCTGTATATGTATAGGTATACATTCCAGGGTGTATGTGTGTGTGGAGATCAAACGATTTGCACGGTCTGGTTCTCTCCTTCAGCCTTATGTGTCCTGGGATAGAAGCAGGTTATCCAGCTTGTGGGAAAGTAGCTTTACCTGTTGGCCCCAAGAAACCACTTTTCAGTCTCTGTGTTTCCAAGTTTGACGTAGCACTTCCTTTTTTTAACCACTACAATCCATTAGCATTTACCATGCTGTTTGTTTAGACAGGGTCTAAGTAGCTCTGGTTGTCTGGCACTTGCTAGTAGGCCAGGCTGGCCTCCACCCCACAGAGATCTACCTGCTCTACTCCTGAGTGTTGGATTTAAATGCTAGAGCCACCACATTTGGTTAGCACTTTTAATTTTAAGGAAATACTAACCTACATAGATTAAAGTTGTCAAAATCACCTGGGCCTTCTATTCAAAATGCAGACTCCCTGATCTTAAATGAGGGCTTAGAGTTCAGTGGAGGAATGTTTGCTTAGCACGGCCAAGGTCCTGGGTTTGGTCCTCTATGCCTGCCAAAAAATAGTAATAAAAAGGAGAAAGGATTTCTTAGATGAGACTTGAGACCCTGTAACTTAATAACAGACGACAAAAAGTATACCTATTACATTGTATAATTGTTCTTTAGAACTTCTTCCTTTTTTAGCTGAAATTTTGTATCCTTGGGACAAAATCTCTCACTAGTCCCTGGTAACTTCCATTCTACTCTATTCTTAGCTTTTTTTAAGCCCCACATATGAGATAATATGACACCTGCCTTTGTGTGCCCGACTCAGTTCATAGATGATTCATACATTTCATATACATTGTTGAAAATGATGGGGGGGGGAGACAAGTTTCCATGTGTAGGCCAGCTTGGCTTGGAACTCATAATATAGGCCAAGTCAGTCCCACTTCATCCTTCCAAGTGATGAGATCATTGATGTATGACGCCACACTTAGCTTAGATGGTCTTTTAAGACTTGTTTTTCTTTATGTGTGTGTGTGAGCCTGCATGACTTTACGTGCACCACATGTGTGCAGGAGTCTACAGAGCCCAAAGATGTCGGACTCCCTGGAGCTGGAGTTATGGGTGTCTGTGAGCCGCCACGTATATGCTTGCTAACAAAATCCGAGTCTTCTGCAAGAGCAGTAAGTGCTCTTAACCACTGAGCCATCTCTCCAGCCCCAATTTCCTTCTTTTTAAAGACTGAAAAAATATTCCATTGTGTACATGTGCCACATTTTCTTTATCCAGCCATCTATTTGGATATTGATTGACTGAAATGTAAATATAATATCTGTCCTATTTTTTCATATGCCTGTTGGTCATTTGCATCTCTTCTATTGAGAAATGCCCACTCTGTTGGGTAGTTTTGTCAACTTGACACAAACTAGAGTCATCTGAGAAAAAAGTACATCAACTGAGAAATTGCTTGCATTAGATCAGCTGTTGACAAGCCTGTAGGGCATCTTCATGTGAGAGAGGAGGGCCCAGCCCATTTTAGATGGGGCCACCCCTGAGCTGGTGGTCCTGGGTTTCATAAAAACAGACTAATAAGCAAGCCAGTAAGCATCACCTCTTCATGGCCTCTGCATTAGCTCTGGGCTCCAGGTTCCTGTTCAGTTTAAGCTCCTGTCCTGACTTCTTTCTGTGATGAACAACAATGTAAGCCAAGAAACCCTTTTCTCCTCAAGGTGCTTTGGTCCTGATGGTGTATCACAGCAATAGTAACTCTAACTAGGGCAGATGTTGGTACAAGGATAGTGGGGTCTTCCTGTGACAGACCTGACTGTCTTGTATGGGGGAGAGTTGTGGAAGGATTTTTGAACTTCAGGCTAGAAAAGCCATTGAGTGTTGAGCTCAGTGAGCTGCTCTGTAGGAGCCTGGAAGGTAAGAATGTTGAGAGCAATGCAGATGGTGAAGGCCTGGCTTGTGAAGTTTCAAAGGGAAGCAAAGATGATAGTGTGTGAAAGATATGTAGTGTTTGGTCAGTTAGAGTTGAAGAATCAGCTGTGATTAACAAGAGTCCTGAACCACTAAAGTAAAACCTTCATTTTGCTGGGACAATGGATGCTTCCCTGTTGGGGATTGAAGCATCAGCTCCAATTAAGAAGATACCAGTATCAGTGAGGTAAAGTATTCTGGGAAGTGTGTCCTCAGGGTCAACGCACAACTGTGCTTCACACGTGGCCAGGGTTGTCCCTTGTGCTGGCTCTAACACCAAACTTGGCAGTAGAGGAGTCACTGAGGTGGTGCTGGTTTTGAAGGCATGAAGGGGTCCTGGAGAGCAGCTGAGGCTTGGCACTGAGTGGCAGGGCTGGAGTCCCAGAAGAGACCTCAGGAGAGGCTACTGGTGAATGTGCAGCCCAGCTGCAGCAGAAGAGTACAGCATTTTTGGAGACTCTAGTGCCACGGGACAACCACCGACCAGGTGTGAATTAGAGCCGACCTGAGCCTAGAGAAAATCTGTATGCATTGCAGAGGGCAGGACCCTTTGGAGGAGCTCAGAAGAATGTGAGTGGATCCAACACGTTGGACACTGAGTTATTTACACAGTTGGAGTTTGGTTTTGCTTTGTTCAGATTGTGACTGTGCCCTGATTCTCCCCTCTTGAAGTAAGGAAGTATTTAGTTTTTCATTTTACAGGAACCCACAGTTTGACAGACTTTA